TAGATAATATTAAATTTGATTGTTAGAACTCGATAGGATTTGATTTGCTTTCAAATAATTGGCCTTCTCGTTGTAACCCTATTTATATAAACAATAACCTGAGATTTCTAATTGATTTGTTGTAGATGAATGAATGAAATTAATTGAGTGATATTAAGACCTAGGTTGTATAGGCCAATCAATCCAAAGCATATCAAATTGCATAATAATTAAATATTTTGTATATGGAATGTAGTTAGAAAAAGTTACTCAAAGTATAATGAAAGGTACTTTTTTTTCTGATTTGGAATATAACCACTGAATGCTTCACACAAATAGATATAAAAAATGCAATTCAAAGGCATGCGAATCCTATCTAATTAGTAGAAAAATCATACTTTAATGCCTATACCTCTTTAAATCTGCATACAAGTTACCTAATTAGTTTTATTTCAAACAATAAAATATATTTGCCCTATTAGAGAAAACATTAGAACTTTGAGAATTACAGTAGATTCTAATAGATAGAGGAATTTTTACCTACAAAGTCTACAATTATTGCTTCAATAGATCCCACATATTCCATTTCAACCTACCGTAAAATGGATGCTAGATAGTATCTGTCAATCAAGTATAAACTTGAAAGTTGAAAAAAATTATTGCTCATAAGTTTATAAATCCAGTGGATAAGAGCATGCCTACTTCAAACAATACTTAGGATGAGACCAAAAATGAACTATAAAGCTAGCTGCTACTTTTATTGACTACATAAAATATAACTCAACAGCATCATACGAACAGCAAACACTAAAACCACTAAGAACACAAAGACACTCAAAATCTTCTCCTGTAATTCCATTTTTGTGAGCTTCTTGAAGTTGCCACCAGTCTTACTCCCGCATTCTTCTCGTTCAAAGTCTCCTGAAGAGTACCCAGTATCGGCTTCTTGGGTGCCAAAAAGTTGGTGGTCCTCGTGTTCGGACCTCCTGAGCTGCTTCCTCCTCTCTCTCTCTCAAGGTGCCTATGATTCTCCACCAATTGAGCTAGTTCCATAGCCTCTCCAAAGTCACAATGCCTCATTATTCTAATCGCTGCCCAAATCTCTAGTGTCAGTCCCTTCATAAAATTTTCCTCTAGCACTGTCTTAGGAAGATGATCCAATCGACTAGCAAGATACTTGAATCTCTCCCGGTATTTCATCATTGAACCCTCCTATGTCAAGGCGAATAGCTGCTCGTAGAAGTCTCCTTCCCTGCCAGTTCATAAACATTCTACCAAACAATCCTTTAATTCTCTCCAACTCCGTATGGGTTGTCACATGTCCCTCCACTGGTACCAAGAAAAAGCCTTCCCTTCCAAACATAGGCCAGCTATCGTCAGACTCTCCTTCTCTGTCAACCCATTTAGCCTCTCCTTCTCCGTCAACCTATTGACGGTAAAGTATCCGTCCAACTACTAGATCCACCCATGAGCATCATCTCCCTCAAAAATAGGCATATTTAGCTTCCTAATCCTCAGATCTCCTCCATTCCCCATGTTTCCTCCCTAATTTCCCATTCTTCAAGGGGTGATTCCCCCAAGTGTCCCTATTATCCCTTCTATGCTCATACCCAAATCTTTCATCAATTCCCACATTCTCCTTTTAAATCCAACAACCCTTGGATCATAATAAATCCCTCTCCTTTCAATTCCAGCCCTCCTTCGGTCATAATTACCCCTTTCCTTTTCAAATTCCGCTCCTCCCCTCTCAAATTCAATACCCCTTTGTTCATGCTTCACCTCCTCACGCTCCTCACGCTTCTCACCATACCATCTACCCTGCTTCCCATAGGAACATGCTCTAGGGAATGCATTCTCTCTTTTCCTTTTTGAATCTCCACCTCCTAATTTTCACTTTGACTTATTATATTAGAATTTTCCCCGCTTCCTGGGCTATCAAAGGCTTTCCTCTCCTTCAACGATATTGTTTTGGATTGGCCCTCGAGCAACTCCAACATCTCACCCAAGCTAGAAAAATCCTCATCCATCTTCTCGTGGATGGATGAGATTTGACTTTTCACATCTGAAAATTGAGTGTGGAGATCTAAAATTTCAATTTTCAATTGTGTGATCTCCTCTTCTAACACCTCTACCTTTCTTCCTACCATAAGAACTTGGATTTAGGCTCCAATAGCAAGAGTCGCAAGTTTGACGCAAATTTTGGCCTCCAATCAGCAAAAGCAACACGATCGGACATGGAAAACATCAAAATTCAATGAGGAAGACTTCTATTTCAGCCTCAAAGATTTGCTTTGATATCAATTTGATATGAAACACTTGAAGATTTCAAAAAAAATCCTATCAATCTCGGGAAAACAACAAAACATTTTTTTCCAATCTCCAATAAAAAACCAGAGAAAATTATAATTTTATTGCAAGAAATCAAATAGAACGGAAAGAAAATACTAAGATACAATTGATTCTCTATTTGAGAGGAGGATCTATCTCTCTCAAATCTCTAGACACCACTAGAGCCCAAAAAAACCTAAGAGATCTCAAATTTCAACTAAATTCAAGATACCCTAATCCTAGAAAAATAAACTATTTAATGCATACAATCCAAAAGGAAATCTTTAAACAGTCCCTATATTTAAATTTTCCTCCTAACTCCCTCAAAAAATCCTTCCTAAACTACTCTATTGGCTCTTGCGGTTCAAGCGGTGTACAGGAGAGGTAGAACTCTTCCGCATTTGTTCCGCCTGAGCCGGTCCCGAGTGGACCAGCTGGACCGGTATAACAATTTATCAATCAATTGTGTATATCATGGGTGTTTAGAATTATCATGAGCCGTGATAATAACTTGTTGGTAGAAGATTGCTTTCTAGAAAAATGGCTTCGATGCTCAAAGACCATTGATAATTGATACATCATATGTAACAAACTTTCCTTAAGGGATTAACCAAAATACATGGGCTGCCCAAGACCCTATTATTTGAAAACTTCCTTCTTATTTCTAGAAATCTTTAAGAAGATTGTTGGATGCTATAATTAAGTTTTCATCAGACTTTCAACATTAAGTTGATAAAAATTTAAATTAGTAAATAAAAAGCTATGAGATCCACTCAGATATTTGTTTGAAAAAACTTTAGGTAATTAGGATATCCATTTTCCCAACACTGAATTTGCATTGAATAGCATTATATGTAAATCTATAAATAAGATGCCATTTTGAGATTGCTTAGGGACTAAAACTAGAAAGCATATAGACTTTCTCTTTAACATTGCATACATATTCTAATTTTGTTGCACCATTTGTGCAACATATACATGATTTATACAATGATTTTAGAAAGCATATCGAATTGCATAATATGAAATATTTTGATATTGGGAATGTTAAGAAAAGTACTCAAAAGTATAATGAAGGTGACTTTTTGTTCTGATTTGGATATACCCTGAATGCTTCACACAAACTAGATATAAAAAATTGCAATCAAGGGCATGCGATCCTATCTAATTAGTAGAAAAATCAACTTTAATGCTTACGTTTTAAATTGCCACAAGTTACGCTAATTAGTTTTATTTCAAACAATAAAATATATTGCCTTATTGAGAAACATTAGAACTTTGAGAATTACATGCTGATTCATAGATATGAGAGATTTTTTTACTACAAGTCTACAATTATTGCTTCAATAGATCCCATCATTCCATTTTCACCTACCTAAATGGATGCTGATAGTGTCATGTCAAATCAAGTTAAACTTGAAAGTTGAAAAAAATATTGCTCATAAGTTTATAGTCAAGTGGAAAGGCATGCCTACTTCAAACAATACTTGGATGGCCAAAAATGAACTATAAAGCTAGGCTGCTACGTTTTATATGACTACATAAATATAACTCAACAGCACATACTACACGCAGCACAAACCACTAAGACACTAAACACTCAAAAATCATCCCACAAAAGCCCAATTGATCATAGGATAATTACCATGAATCAAATCAAGCCACAACAAAACTAAACTATATGCAATCTTAAGCCTTTGTAGGCTCATTTCTATTTAAGGATGAACACTTTGTTTAATTTGATTTATTTCATTAGGTTCATTTTTTTTTTTTTTGGATAATATTAGATTTGAATTGATGGTTGGTTAGAATTGGATGGGATTTCATTTGCTTTCAAATAATTAGCCGCATATTAGTAAACCGTCTTTTTTATGAATATGAACTAACAATTCCTGATTGATTTTTTATTGTTGAATGAACACAATATGCTTGTTTATGAGCCTAAATAAGTGCTCTTAGGTACATCGATCCAAATTGCATATTTAGTGTACAAAAGGCAGGCCTCTATCAAACAATTCAAGGATGACCAAGGAAGAACTATAAAAGTTAGCCCTCGATATTTTGGATATGGATACTAAAATAAGAGTGTAGAGTTGATGCAGTACAATCAATTAATCAGGTAAAGTCGACCTATAAAAGCCCAATTGATTACAGGACAGTTACAATGAGTTAAATCAAGGCACAATAGAACTAAAATGAACAAATTTCCAAACCTTTTTAGGCTAATTTCTGCTTATGGATAAATTCCTCTTATTTAATTGATTTATTTTATTAGGCACGTTTTCTCTTTTAGATAATATTAAATTTGATTGTTAGAACTCGATAGGATTTGATTTGCTTTCAAATAATTGGCCTTGTCGTTGTAACCCTATTTATATAAACAATAACCTGAGATTTCTAATTGATTTATTGTAGATGAATGAATGAAATTAATTGAGTGATATTAAGACCTAGGTTGTATAGGCCAATCAATCCAAGTTTTGCAAAGGCCTCCCAAAAAAAAAAAAGTAATGGTGGTGAAACAAATCATTCATCATAGGCATTCACTAAAAAATAATAAATAGATAACTTAATGAATTAATTAAATGAAGCATTCACATAGTACATGGCCTAAAAGTTTTCCTAAGCAATTATTGAATAATAAAATATGTCACAAATCCAGATTTGTAGTAGGATAGACAGAAGAAGCTAACCTTTCTAACAATATTTCCATCACCAGCATCCCTTCGCATAGAAGCAGCTGCAAACCTGCATAACACGACCAATGATTGTCTTGGAAAATAAAATTTCGGTGAAGCATATTTTCCATGACTAATTGAGAGAAATTTCACCCAAAATGCAATAGCAAACCAACCCAAATTCAGAAAGAGCTTACCGCCTTCATATGCAAAAATTAAAGTTCTCTATAATGATAAGAAAACCATAATCAGCTAGAGAGTGAAATTAAGCCCCACGTCAACAAGAATGCTCCGGACAATATGGAATTTCTTATAAGACCATAATGGAAAAAAAAAATTAAAAACCGGTTGATGTGATATACTGATATGCTCCATCATATGTAACCAGCCCAAAATATTTGCTAGGAAATAAATCTCAGAGGATATTTACAAACCAACTATTCCTCAACACAAACTATACAGATATCGCTGGATTGCTCTGTAACTTCCTGTAACACCTATGGTGATTCTCAAAGTGAGAGACTGCAGACAATGATTCTCCGCCGAAGCACGTTTCCATTCAGAAACTAAAACTGAGAATTGTATGGGACAAGATGTTTATCAGTTTAAATCAATAGCCTGTTTCAAACATGGTTGCAAGGTCAAGATGAACCTGACTCCAATATCTGAAAATAACCCATTATTTTTTTCCATTTTACTATCTGTAAGCTCTTCACACCAAAATCTTCAACAATTGAAATTGATAGTCGTTTCAGCAGTATCATCTTCTTAAAATATCACCATTCTCTTTGGAATAAACCTCCAGTCAAAAGGTTATAATAAAGCAAAGGAAAAATATAAATCCTTTTCAAAGTGCTTGATCCCAATGTGGGCTGCAACGATGAAGCAGAAAGGACAGATCTGCAAGTACAGCTGTTCAAGATCCAAGAGGGCGTCCTCTATAAAGTCAATTTGCAGTAAAATTCCAGTCAACTGCATGCGTCCAACTAAATCTCACAAGCAAAATAATAAAATTGGCCTATTCATACAGGAAGATTGTCCAACCAATGCATGACTTCAGGTCTTTCATTTAAAAACTACAATCAAATTATAAGACATTCTGACATGATAGAACAAGTACTCTCAAGAAGTTTCAGAATTTTCTATGTATATGCTAAATCCCGTAAAGTACTACATAACTGATCCCTAAATGATACCCTTAACCTGGCATATAACGACAGGCACAACTACCAACAAATGCTCTTTTTCGGCCTGCCGCAAAATGCATCCTTTTCATGATTTCCACATTATGATAGAGAAATGTTGCAACCAATATATGCATTCTTGTGTGATGTCAAATCAAAAATCAACAAGCCCTCAACCCAAATCTAGATGTGAAATCCCAGGATGGTTGAAACTGATGAAGAAATATAAAAAATGTCAAACCTGCTCTACTACAACTGTAATAGATATCCAGTAAAATGTTGCAACCAGTATGTGCATTCTTGTGTGATGTCAAATCAAACAACAAGCCCTCAACCCAAATCAAGATGCAAAACCCCAGGATGGTTGAAACTGATGAAGAAATATAAAAAATGTCAAACCTGCTCTACTAGAACTATGATAGATATCCAGTAAAGTGTGTTGTCATCTACCAAAATAAACACTTATACCAGGCTTAAAAGCAGCAGTCATCCAGAAACTTATTGAATCTGAAAAATAAAAGCACTTCCAAAATTTGCACGCAGGGTGGTCACAATAAACCTCACATTCCCATCAATCTTCTTCATTCAATACATACACTTACTGCAAATCTTATAAATCTAAGACTGCATTTACACTCTGAAAATGTGTATTTGCAGTAATTCATCATAGCAACTTGTCACAACAAACCCAATTTTGAACCTCAAGATCCTGAATTTCTTCAACAGGAAGCATGATGGATTTTTTTTCTAAACCTTTGGGCAAACCAAATATCAATTCAGATATCAATGAGAACAAAACCATTCATACAACAATAAAATATTCAAAGAACTGCAATTTCAGCAAACTTTTCAATCGGATGGTCCACATATGATTTGCGCATGCATAATTCAAATGCATGTATGTTTCCATCATTTACATAAAAACCAGGAAATACCTAAACAAAAAAGCAAACAAGACAAGATATTAAAGACTAAAAAACAGTACTTCTGCTGTTGAAACAATGACAATGGAATAAATCTAACCTCTGCTTGCTTGGATAGGCCACCCTATTGCGAATAGTTGCACCGACGCCCCTTCTTGCAGCCGCAGTCGTCACTGGGAATTGACTCCTTTTAAAGCTTGTTCTTCTCTGGGAAAGCACACCCTAGAAGCAAAAGCCCCGTATAGATAAGATACTATATGGAATATCATGTGGACGGAAAAAAGGAAACATTCAGTACAAGCCCTATAGTACCTGTCTTATGGATGATCTAGAATTCATAAACCTCTGAACCTTGTAGTTACGTTGTATTCCACGATCATTCATGAATCTTTGGCTTTTATTCTTTACACAGGAGAAAAATAATCTTCTTATAATTTGATGTGCAAACCTCATTTTGTAAAGCAAGAAAAAAAGACAAGAACACTTACAGTAGTCCTAGAAGCCTGTTTGCCTTTGAAGGAAGCCTTCTTGGACATTTTGATAATATCATCTGATAAGAAAAAAAAAACGAACCCGTTTATAGCTGCAGTTAAAAATTTTATTTAAAAAAAAAAAAGAAACAATTTACATTACCATCATAAACATACCTAAAGCCATGTCCATTTTTTTCTCGGTTAATGCGATTGTCGCAGTGGAAAGTGCATTGGCTGCCATCTAGATGATATTCAAAAACCGAGATTAAAAGTTACAGTGGTAAGGAACTAGAAAAATATATGTCAATGGAAAAACCCGAATTGAAAGCAAATGTGATCTTTCAACTAAAAAATTCCACCGCACAATAAAGAATGTCAAATCCCTTTCAAGAATTCTTCTTGAAAATACCGCAGCGCTTAAACATAAAGTTCATTTATCTCAATTACCGTCACTAGAACTTGGTCAAATTTCCACCTTTTGATAAATACTGTTAAATTAGTATACGAAGCACAATGAAAAAACATGGCATCGAATTTAAAATTCACGAAGCACTAAACCAACCAAAATACGCCAAGAAAAAGCCATATATTTTATCAAACGTAACGAAAGGCGAGACCAGCTGAACAAAGGTTCTTACCGCAACGCAACACGAGAAACTCCTTCCTTTCTCAAGAAAACTAGGGTTTCCGAAAAGGAATTCCAATTATCCGATTCTTCAACCGCGGTCAACCTCAGAAATTAGTGCTTCAAAGAAACAAGCGGGGAAGACAGAGAAACCCTAGGAGGCAAGACTCCCTGGCATCTAGCTAAGCCAACTCGCACCAGATCCCCGCTCAGCAGCTTCGACTCTCGCTCTGCCCTAAAAGCCTATCTTGAACTTCCTGCTCCGACGACGCCGTCGGTCGAGTATTAGTAGTTACCAGTCGGTCGAATGTCGGTTCTGCTAGCGGATCTTCAGATATGATCAAACCCGAAACCCGAAACCCGAAACCCGAGCCAACAACATTTATGGTATTGGCCTATTGGGATGTGAATATAAAATGTATTTCTCAAAAATTAAAAAAAAAAAAGTTAAAAACATCAAACCCTAAGGATGAAAACCATGGAGCTTCTTACATTAAGCAGTAAATGAGATTATTTAATATTAAAAGATTTTCATACATAGCACTTAAAATATTAATATTTATATAATTAACATCTAAATTTTATTATTTATCCAATCTAGGACTCTGCAACAAAGATAACTATTTCATTCGATCCGATACAAACATGCTCGATCAAGATCTGGATGGTCAGAGATGGAAGAGATAGTCATAAATGGAAGAGATGACCGAAGATGGAAGATGAGGCAATGTCGACAAATTTAGGTTGAGGAGGATAATGTGATGAAGTCAAGCAAGATGAGAGCTGAATTTTTTTTGCTTTTTTTGCGAGGCGATGTCCTAGATGGAGGTGGCCAATATCCAAGACAAAGTTCTAACCATAGCGCATTAAAGGAGGTAGCAGAGATTTGTCAATGATGATCTTAGCGATATTTAGGTTTTTATAATGGGGCGGATCTAGGAGTCATGACGAGTGCTATAGGAGACTAGTAGTGTATTTGGTGTTGGAGGCGATGAAATTCAGCAGTATGCTCGGTGATGGATTCATCCAGCGGAATGCCAGGTGATGGAAGAAACGGAGACAGTGTGGGTCGTAAAGAGAGAGATGTGCAAGTTTTGATTTTATTTTAATAGTGTGAATATTATTTTATATTTTATGTATGTAATCTCTTTTAATATTGCTAGTATAAATGCACATGCACTATGTGCATAAGAATAAATTAAAAAATAAAAATATAGATATTATAAAATTTAATATTATTTTTATTTAATTACATGAATATATAAATTTATTTATATTACTCGCATAAATTTTTCGGTTAAGAAAGGTAGGGGTAGACCTAAAAAGACTTGGTTAGAAAATATTAGGAATGACCTTTCTTTATTAGATTTAAACGATAATTTGACTTTTAATAGGACACAATGGAGAAAAAGGATTCATGTCATACATGAACTTTAAGATTTTGTTTAGGACTTTTTTTAAAAAAAAAAAAAAAAACTTTCTAAAAGTAGTTTTTTAGTACTAAAATTTCAAGTTCAAAAATTTTTTTTAGTGAAAAACAACTTTAAAAAATAGTAAGAAAGTCATCTCAAATGAAGCCTGAGGCTAAGGCTTCATTTGATTCAGCTTTCTTATTGCTTCTTAAAAAAATAATTTAGTATAAATTAAAATTTTTATACTAATTTTTTTAAAAAAAAATAGTAAAAAAGTTATCTCAAATGAAACCTAAATTAGACTATCTCATTGCACATGTATTTATGGGCACATGATCCAATTGGACCAAAAAACATGTTTTATTTCTTGAAATAGGATATTAAGATAAGGTTGAATATATAAAAAAAAAAAAAAATTTAAGGGTTGATAGAAAATTAAATAAAAAAATTATGGGCAAAAGTTAAAGAAATAATAAGAGGCAACACCATAACACATATTCTTGATATGAAAGCCTATAAGATGGCTATAAAAGTAATCATTTTGCTCATATTGGATGCTTAATGTCTCTCACATTGGAGAGAAAAATGAAATGGTTGAACAATTTTCTTCTTGATGCTTTCCTTTACTAAATAAATAAAACATAACAGGTCAAATGGTAAAAGAGGGCACCTCTTAGTTTCCTTTTGAAGGAAACTTTGCAAATCATACAATAATGGGAAATTGCATTTTAAGGAAACCATTGATATGAAAGAATTGATGAGAAGAATGTGACTATGAATGACAATTTTTTAGAAATTGAGGGTACCTACATCATGAATAAACGAGGAAAAATTTTTATTTTAAGTTAAATATATAATATTAGCAAAGAATGAATATATTTTGCTAGTAATCGCCATTATTGTATCTTAGAATATTCACGGAGTTAGAGACATATAAAGTTAGCATTCTAGTCTTGTATGAAGACCCAACACACAAATAGATAAAAGAGTATGGTGCAATATTCATAAAAAATACCAAAGTTTTTACGTGAAAAAATATGAAAAGGGGAAAAATCGTGGGGATTTGGTCTAATTTGAATGAATCTACTAGTATTGATAATTGATTACAAATAATATCATTCTTCGGAGGAGGGTGATGACTTAATGTAGTAAATACATATTGTATAGAGCTTGTTATATGATAGTTATTCTTAAAAGAGTGTTGACATATCTGTTTGGTCAGTAGAACTGTAGTCGAGGGGCGACGGTGGTCTGAGGGACCGTAGTCAGTGGTCGACAATGGTCGAAGAGACCATAGTCCACAGGTGACAATAGTCATATAGACCATAATCGACGAGCTACTATGGTCGAAAGGACTATGGTCCGGTAACCGTTGATGAAAAGACTGTAATGTAGTGATGATAATTGGAAGGATCATAGTAAGGTAATAGTAGTCGAAAGGTGAGTCGAACGACAATGGTTTGAATGACCATAGTTGGTGGACAACGATGATTGAAATGAATGTAGTCGGCAAGCCACAATAGTCGGATGAACCGTAGCCAACGGGTGACAATGGCCACAGGGATCATAGACGATGAATGACATTGGTCAGAAGGAACGTAGATGGCGGGCGACGAGGGTCAAAAGGACCATAGTCTGACGATGATGATCAAAAGGATTGTAGTCTGTCGACGGTGGTCAAAAGGATCGTATCGAACAACCGTGGTTGGAAGGATCATAGTCGGGGCGACGATGGTCGGAAGAAAGTCCAGCAGCTGTCGGTGGCTAGGTGGAAATCTGATGGCAGTAGGCGGTTGAGCGCTACAAGCTTGAGAAAGCAAGAAAGATCATTCATTTTTTCTCTTTTCCTCCTCCTGTTTGTGAAGAATGAGGAGTCTATTTATAATTTTTTTATAGTTGCATTGCTAGTAAATAGGGTTTAGGAAAAGATCAATGGCATGTTGGGAGTATTTCAATGGATGATCGATATAAGCTCTCTTGATCATGGATCATTTATCGAGCATCTGAGTGCTTTAATAATGTCATAATTCTACAATCTTAGGCTCGTTGGATTCATCTTGTCGATCCACTTGATTCATCTATAAGCACGTCACATTTGTAAATTATTTGGTTATCCAATTTATGATTTGAACCTTCTAAATGTGCTGCGGGCCTTTGATTTTAACCCATTTGGACTCATATTTGGTAGATTTTGGTGTCATTGGTTTCGTCTCTTCGAGACAATTAGTTTGAGTGTTTGTGTTTGACTATAAGTTTACTAAAATTAGAGTTCAAATGGTCCCAAATTTAATTTTAAAAATTTCTAATTCATACTTGCAACGAGATTGGTGCCCTATCAAGTTTAACAAGTCATTTTGATCTAAAATAAATTGCATTATTCATCTAATAAAAGCGTCAAACACATCAAATTTGAATTCAAAGTAAATTTTATTCAACTCAAACATTGTGAATATAATAAAAATGTCTATGTTTGGATCAACAATATCCAAGTTAACTTCCTATTAGCTTCAAATTTGACGAGCCAACCCGACTTGTCACTCTATATAAAAGATATTTTAAATTCTTTAGAAAAATAATTCACATTTACTTTCATTTATTATAATTCATACCTCCTTAAAAAATCAAATCAAAACCGTTGCAACTTTCTATAAAAATAACAAACTTAAGATCCATTTGAAACCGTTGCAACTTTCTATAAAAATAATTGTAAAGCTGTTATGAAGAAAATAATTTTTTAAATATTATATAAAATAGTTTTTCAGTACAAAAATTATTTAAAATAATGAAAAAGGAATAGCCAAATAAAAATTATAACTACGATTTGAAAAACAAGACAATAGAAAACTGTCTCAAACAAAACTTTAATACTAGAATTTCCAATCAGCCATAGGAAAACAGTTGTAGATAAGAAAATATTTTAAATCAATTTCTTAGCCAACTTGAATAGAATCGGTTTGAACCACAGATCAATTTTGAACTTGATGCATGATTTCGAGCTATTTCGAGTGGGGACTAAGGCTTCATTTGGAACGACTTTCTTACTACTTCATCAAACATACAAAATTTTCTTGAAAGCAAGAAAAACATAGTAGCCAAAAATTGTCTCAAACGAATCCTAATAAATCACATATAAATCGGAAAATTCTCTCCAATGAGTAACCCATCAAATAAATGACATCAAATTATTCAACTGGTTTCCAGAAAAAAAAAAAATACAGTATAAATTACTCTTAGTAAATCCTTACAACAACAACAACAAAAATAAAATTGAATATTTCCACTGGAAATAAACTGTGATACATAAAATTCAAATAAAAAAGGCCTTCAAAATTATTGAACATCTGCTCCCTTATTCCACACTGCAAATTGAGCAAGGGAAAATTTAAAGTGGAACGTTCTTAGCTGAACATGTGGGGAAGAGGCCTCACAGCCATGAATGCATCCACCATCTACATACAAAAAGAAATTTCTTTAACTGCAAAATACAGTAACATGGCCACAACATTAGGAAAATTTATTCTGTGCGAACCTCGGACGGCATCCGGAAACCAATCAGAACGTGCCACGTCACTTTTTTGCTCGGTGCCGCTGTGTACCAAGTGACGTGACATTTTCTGATTGATCTCTAGATTGTCCGGTGTCCGCACAGAATAATTTCTCCAACATTAGAGGAATCATCTATGAAGTACTAAGCATTTACCTTTATAAAAAAAAAAAAAAAAAAAAAGCTAATTTTAAAATGCAAAATACATATTTCTATCGCATAAATAAGATTTTTTAAATAAATATAAAAAAAAAAAAAAAAAAAGCTAATTTTAAAATGCAAAATACATATTTCTATCGCATAAATAAGATTTTTTAAATAAATACATGACAAAAAATATAAAAAGAAATAATTATATAGTAGAAGAATATTGATGATGAAATACCTCATCGGTCACTGAAGCACGAGCCTTCTGATGTCTCTCAACTATCGCTGAAAGAACTTCAATAAGACGCTTCTTTACCTCACCGGTCAACAACCGGCCTGCACCATATTCCTACTCAAAACCATAAGAATCAATATATAGGAAAATACGACAAAAGAAAATCATCCTAACTAAGCACAATAGTGAAGAAATTTATTCTCTGAAGGCACCTTCTTTATGTGCTCAAGCTCCTCATCGTCTTCAAGAAAGAAACTAAGGTACTTGACTGGAATGTCCACCTATACAAATCAAGTAGAAAAGAGAGAGAGATCAATTAGTGTAACTTTTCAGAATGGTATTTCAGGTAATTCATATACTATAACCCATGATCTTTGGTTCCCTCAAAAAACTGGGTCTCATGTGGTACTCCTCCACTCTTACTTAGCCCACTATAACTCTCGCGCAAGCCTCTCCAACTCCCTAGATCTGTAGTGCAAGCAATTCCCTCACGAACATCTCTTTCCCTTAGCCCACTAAGGCTTCGTTTGGTTATTTTGTGTCTTTCTTAAAAGATAGTTTTAAAATTGTTGTTTAACATAACGAAGTTTTCTAACGGAGAACTTAATATCAGAAAACTTTTGAAAATAGTACAAAAATAATGGTATTCAGAACGTGGTTAAAAAAAGTAGTTTTATCAAACAAATATTTTTTTTTCCTAATTTACCATTGCTAGACGGAAAAAACAGTAAAAACGGACAAACAAACCAGCCCTTAATCTTCTTCTTGCATGATTCCCCCACACCTCGCTCACACCACCTCATTTGATCACGATCTTCTATGTAATTCTCTCCGCCGTTGTTTCTCTACACAAATCCTAACTCCACCCCAAATAATAATAATAATAATGATAATAATAACAACAGCTTTCAATTTCTCACCTTTGTTACTGGCTATAATTCTAACATAACCATATTCTAATTCATAACACTAACTACACAAATGAAAGCAATTATAACCTCAGAATGCTTTATTTCTCTCTTTTTCTTGAACATCCACATAGGAAATCATACCTTACCCCACCATGGCATCTGTCAGAGTGAACCATCATAGCCTATCCTACGGCGTAAGGCGTGCCAAGCTCCATTGTTGCATAGCCTTCCCTAAGGCATAAAGCGTGCCAAGCTTCATTGTGTCAGCTTCATTGTGTCATCTATTAAAGCATGCTTCGCAGCCATCTTTATATGAGAAAACCGACAAAAACTACGGTGAGATGTTCTCCTTTTGCAATCCTCATTTTTTTCGAATATATCTAGCTCCCTATAGTAATTTCATAAGTTTATCCATTGAACAAGCAACTACCCTTTACCATTTGATGCTTCTTGCGCAATTGAAATCCACCCAGTTTACAAAAAAGCCAGTGATGAGAATTTAACCCACTTCAAATATGCGCTTAGTTGTCTAGAGAAGTAAGATGAGATGAATTGGCATGGCCAATAGTAACAAACCATTCAAAAGAAGCATTTTCAGTTATTTGTCCCTATGTTCACTCAAAATGTTCGCCACATCACTTATCATACATTCCATGGCTTACTATTTAAATTCATAATACCAAAAATATGATAAAATTGGACGTTTGAAACAAAGAAATATGTGAAATAAAAAAGGGTCTCAAGTTTAAATAACCAAAGTGCAACAAAATTATTATAATTCTTTCAAAGTCCAAACCCAAATACATACAAGGCAAATCAGTTGATCGAGAAGATAGTCCATAGATTAGAATTCAATCTTAATATCTCTCCATTGATTCAAGGTAACTGGAAAGTTATCACTTCAATATGCATGCTAAAATATGCAATATATCAAAGTCCACAACCAAACCAACTTAGTTAAACAAATTGCCTTGCCTATAAGACGAAGACTCATCCTTATAAATCACTCTAATGTCAAAACAATCGGACCTACATCGGACTCCCCTCAAATCTAAGGTTATAAGTTCTGGTCCATGAGGTCTTTTTATCAAGTAGAGTTGTGACACAACTATCAAAATTTAGAATGATAATATAAGTCAAGTCTTCTTAATAGGCTTTTCTCATCCCTAGGTTGTAAGCTCTGCATGAGCCTTCAATGCATATAAAACTCACCTCAATTAATGGGTTTGGCAAAAAGTCAACATACCCAATTACCCACTAAATCAATTTGTCCAATCAAACCACCTTACCTATAGGCCTACAGGGCAAAGCCATAAGACCCATTAATAGGCTCTATTCGTCCTCGAGATTGTAAGTCCCGCTTACAACTCTTCCAAAAGATGTAAACCACATCCCCTTTAACCAAGTCGACAAAAAACCAACAAACCCATTAAATCTAAATAAGCCTTCCACAAGGGATATAAAACCCTTACCTAAACTAAACCCAAGCAAGGTCATATGTTGATAATCCTACATACCAAAAGCAAACTCACTAATCAAATCACACGTGTGTATTAGACAAGCCTTCTTCAAGTCAAATTCGAAATCACGAATAATTGATAGCCATGTCATGCCTCCGAGCTCAAGTTGTTCAACGTCTAGTAACTCTAAACTTTTTAAGTTGTCATATTTCATGCCTTTGAACTAGTCCATAATAACTGGTACTGAAAGCTCTTTACTAGTAAATAAGCCAATGTAAAAAATAAAAAAATAAAAAAAAAGCCAATGTGAATTTCAAAAGCATGTCTTTTTGCTCAACATACCCAAGAGGATAAACTCATGATTACTAATTAGAATCCCTCGACATCATACGTCAAAGCTCTTCAACATTGACAGAATGGATCCACTGGCACATTGAGATGACCAAACCATGAAATCCTAATTAGTTTTTTCTATATTCCTCCAAACATTCCTTATTACTTAAATTCAAACTAAAATATTAAATCCAAACCTTAAATTGAGCCAAAACAACATTCTTAATCGTCAGTGCTCCCGTTGAGTAAGTTGGGCAAGTAACTATGAGAGATTGTGCCCAAATGAAGTCACAACCTTAGATCTAAATAAAAACTAACCCAACATCAGGGAAAATCTGGTTAAAATATAATAATATACCTCAAGAAAAATTATTCTTCGGTTTATCTCATAACATAAAGCAGGCTGGAGAGAGGCATTTAGCAATCAAATAGAAGTAGAACAAATAATATTTATACTAGACGAACTGATGGTCATTTCCAAAGGCAATTTCTCACTGAACTAAATACTGAGATGCATGATTTAATCAACCAAATCTTCCTTATTTTCTCCATAATATCATATTCCACTTTCAAGCTCTCTCACCCTACTTCATTATTAATTCATAATTTAAATTTACTTATATTGACAATAAAATAAATCCTTACATGCTCAGTATTTAAGAAAATCAATCAGTACAAAAGAACATGATGTAATTAGCCCGAAATCCTTGAACTCTTATCAATAACCTATCTAAGACATGTAATCTGAAAGAGGTAAACAAGCTCTTTCAAGAGTTGAAAGAGTAGGAAGTTGTGAGGTAAATTACCATCATCATCCTTATCCTAACTATTTGTAGTTAGCTGTAAGGTACAACAACCCAATCACTATTCTCTCCACATCAGTTGTTCATGATGCAATTTATAGAATAAGTAATAGTTGGTGGTAGAAAAATTTTTCATATTAAGAGTCAAAAGTACATGGCACCATACCTCCAGATTCGCGCCATACTTCCTATGGTTCTCTATAGAATCTTGTCCGCCGGAGAATGCATAACGATTCACCTATACAATATAATTACAACGATGTTAAAAAATTTCATTAGATCAAAATATGACAAAATTTAAAGACATCGTGCTTTAACTTCAATAATTCAACAATGTAGACTATACACAAAAACTTGCCTTCAATATGAATTTATAGAGAAAAGTACTAATTTAACATATTGAATTTCATAAGTAAATGAATCGTGTATGATAACAATATTCTATAATTCAGGTCGCAGCAAATTTATCAATCATGTAAAATGCATTTCTTAAGTAATTATATTCTCACCAATCATTTCAAGCAATAATTACTCCATGTACGGACAATCAAAGTTTAGATAAATATCCAACCAAATCCAACCAAGAGGAAGGGTGTGGAAAATGGTAGCAGTAGAGATAAATAAATATATAATAACCCGACGAGGAATTGAATATTAAGGACCTAAGTTGGGTCCAATCCAAACCTGGCCACAGTTTTCCAACCCAAAAATTTAAGACAATAGCTGACGACCATCTAATGGACTAAAAGAATGAAGGCCATGCTTGATCATTCAGTAGAAATAAGTTTATGAAGAACAGATAAGGATCACAACTTAAAGGTTACAAAGAGAAAAAAAAACCTTGTTTTTAATGACTTTGGGCGTGTCTGTCACATAAATTGCAGAATTAGGATCACTAGCAGACATCTTTCCTGTCTCCCCCTGCAAGGATTATGAAAATATATAGGGCAACTTATATTACAACTAGCAATGATCAACACGGAAAGTAGAAATCACAAAAAAGGAAAAGATCACAACAAATCACGTAAAAATTAAGGAAACCAACAGTTAGTGAACAGATTATATTTGGATGGCAACGGATTGTTACCCTATCGTTGCATGCGCTAAAATATTTTGGCATCCTTTGAACTGAACATGAATTAAATAATGCCGGAAATCCAAAATTGTATTTTTAAATTTAGTTGCATTCGATCATCTACGCGACATATCAATAACGGCATTTAATTGAAGTGAGATGAAGAACACCCAAAATTGCAAGGTATCAACCATCATTGTGTGTAAATGTTAACGAAGATGACTCCATTTTTGTGACAACCCATTTTAGTTGGTTCCCAAAAAAAAGAAAAAATAGCATTAGAGCAGTAAGATCTATGTGCCTCAGAGCAGCAAAAAGAGACATCCATACAGAGCCTAGTGATGTAACTCATTATGACCGTACAAGTTTAGCATTTCATTTGGAGATTAATAAAAGTTGAATGGCTTCATTACCTGAAGGGCTGGAAAAAATGATGACTCGATTAAAGCGGGCTTCTGATATCCTATCCTTGGAGCAACATCTCTAGTCATTCTGAAGTAGGGGTCCTAGAAAGATTGTAAGCAAAAGCATTTTATCAAAAAAGCTAGTCACAAAACAGTAGGATGGCGCTTCATAGCATTAAGTCTAGTATGACTAGTAGGCTGTGAAAGAAATAGGAAAGTAATTACATAACAAAAGATTGCAAAGCATATCTAACATAGAAACAGTAAAAGGATGTCTGTTTATCAAATAAACATTTCATCAAATTCATCAAAATTGAGAAATTAAAATTTGAACATTTAGTCTCTAAAATCAAAATCAGCACCATGAATCTTCATATATCCTATAATACATAGCTATTAACCAAAATATGATAATTTTATGATGTTTTCCTTAACATTAAGCAAAAAATAATAATTAATGGTTTATAATTAGCAGTGCCAAAAAATCTTACTTTTTGAGTGATTTTTCAAAACCAAAACCATTGAAAATACCATAAATGCTAAGTTGGGCATGTAGAGAAATTTGATTCAAATTGAGCAACTCACCATACTATATGGATCATCCGTAAATTAAAACTGAGCATGCGTGATTGATGACTAAAATTTTGTAGAATCTAAATGTGGATTTATACTTAGTTCCAAGGGTAGGGATGAAAGACCAATGATGTGGATTTCCATTTTGAAGACTCAAAAATCAAATTTTTTTGGAAAAAAATGATATGAGTAACCTTTTCCAACACATTCATACACTCATATATATTATAAAGAGAGATAAACAACCATCTTTTTGGAAGAACACATCTTACACCACACCATGATGTAAGATGCATCTTGACCACACACTCATATATTTGAATGGTTGAGATTTAAGGAAACTAAACATTGTGATGTAAGATGTATCTTGATCACAAATTCGTATATTTGAATGGTTAAGATTTAAAATCACTAAGTTTTTAAATATGATACTAAAATTGAAAAAAGAAGACAAGTTATTTAAATTTCAACCATTCAAATGTTATGATGAGTGGTTTAAGATATGATAAGACAAATGCGTATATATTTATAAATGATTAATAATCTAACATTATAGAGTTAGAATTTTGCTCATTAAAATGATAAAGCCACTTATCTAAATATATGTCTTTTGCCATGCATAATAAATTTTACATGCCTAAGAGTTAAAATAGCTAAAATTCATTAGTATTATAAAAGGTTAACATTTAAGTTTTAATAGCTCTGAATACTAGTTATTCAAAATCTATAATGTATGGTGACAGATGTGCAAAATTAAGTGGTTCTATCCTTCTAAATAAATTGTTAATATATATATATATATATAATGTTCCTGATAGACCAATAGCCCCACTCAAGAACAACATCATAACGAAAAAAAAAAAAAAAACCTTGGAGTTCCACACACATTTACAATTTATATTTAGTTACTTGCACCATAATACTTATAAGTGATTTCAATAATGGCCTAGATTATTTGAACAATTTGTAGGACATGTGTAACTTAATCAATACACAGTTATTTAGGTCAGCATTTGGCATGAACAAAAATCCTATAGGTGAGTACTTTGTTCTTCATCAATCTCAAGATACAGTGGTTTGAAAGTTTCCTAGAGAGGTGACCTCGATGTTCAAGACTAAAGCTTGCTTTCCAAACTTTATTTGTTATTTTTTATGTTTTCTCAATTTTAGTCAAATTTTCTTCTTTATCCTCTTTATTAGCTTTTCTTATTTTTATATAGTCATCCAGTCATCCTAGATAAAATTGATATAAATGCTATGAATATGAGTCGTTCTATACATCTAATTGCAACTTTAATATTAGTTCCATTAAGATTTGTTTAATCATTTCATCATCTTCTCTAATCTCTAAATGTTTTTCACAATATTTTCCTAATTTTCTTCCAACTATCCGATTCAATTGCATATTGTTTCTCCTCTCGTAATCTTCATTCTCACTCTGCACAATAATACATTCCACCAATCTCGTGATTTTCCCCACGGTTTACCCGATTGATAAACCACCTCCTCCTCACACATCCAACAAACCAGTCGATCCTCCCTGCCCCACTTAAAATTTGAATACCAAACAAATGTAAAACTCATTTTCATAATTTTTCCAACAATCCCTTAAGTTTATCCACAATACAAAACAACCATCACATTAATCTTCCTATCTCATCAAACTACCTCACCACTTAAAATTGAAATATTAAATCTCATTCCCAATTTTTTACTATTTCATATGTCCTAAGGGACTATCATTAATAGTTCGCAACCCACATCTTGTAAATAGGAAATTATATTGTGTACATATTTACAAAACAAACCTAAAAGGAAAAAATGAAAAGAGGAAAAAATTAAGCAACCATCTTTTCTAGTAAGGCATGCCTCTTCTCCTGAAGATAATTCTTCTGTCCTTTCTTTATATGATAATCAAATCCATCAATCTCATGATCAATTAGTAAACAAACCAGTCCTCACATGTCAAACAACCCAATCAATCCTCAGTGCCCCACTTAAAATTTGAAAACCCATTAAGGCCCTACCACATCTTCAAATATTCTTCAACGATCACTTAAATTTCTCCACAATCTAAAACAGCCACCATATTAAATTTTGAACATCTTACACCTTATTAGACCTCCGCCCAATTAGAATTCAAATATAAATCCCATTATCTATTTTTATCTATTGCTTACATCCTTCTAAGGGATTACCACACATAGTTCCCAACCTTTGCCTCTTACCTCTTGTAAACAGGAAGCATATTTATAAAACAAACAAAACGGGAAAAAATAATAATAAATAAAGTAGAAGGGAAAATAAATCAAGGTACTCAACTGGCATATATCTTCTTCTTCCCATAACTCTTCTCATGGCCTTAAGATCTTCTACCTCAAGAAATTCTACCTGAAGTCAAGGTTCAACTATGTCTACTGTTCAAAATTCTTGGAACTGAAGGTTTGAACTGCAATTCGGTGTGCAATCTAGTGATATGTTCAGTAACTATTCTTTGAAATCTCTATCAAAATAATCTTAATCCAGTTGCATTAAAATTTTCAATTTCCATCTTATTGAGCAATATTCTAAGAGAGTTATATTTATTGCCAATTGAATAATCAGAATTTGAATTAAAATCAACATTGAAATTTACTATTTCTTCATAATTTAAAAGAATTATCATGTTATCTTAAGAAATCTGAATTTTGTATGCAGCTTAGCAACATAAGTCAGTTTATTAGAATATCCATGTGACACAGGCGCTTAGAAGAGGGGCCAGTTAAACCAAACTGGCTCCTAACTCTCTTCCTTTAATTTTCTTTTATGTTTGTTTAATTTTATTATGGCTATTTCTTTAATTCTTTATTTTATTTTTTTCCTTTTTTTTTATTTGCTCTTCTTGACTTTAAAAGCTTATCAATAGAGGAGTCCTTAACAAGAAAAGGCAGATTTTGCAGAGTTAGAAACATGGCTAGAGAGTTCCCTAGTTTCCTGTATCCTGGAATCCCACCAGGTGGTGGCTGAACCCCCTTTCCTCCCCTTCCAGCAGCCCGTCAGCCCCTTCCAGCCCAGCCCGCCAGCTTCCAGCCTTCCTCCACCTTCTTCCAGCACTTTGTAGCCAGTAACAGCCCTCTTCCAGGCCACCGACTGCTCCAGCACCTCCTCCTCTACCCTGTAGCTCCTTCTTCCAGCACTTAGAAGCCAACAAGCCCTCTTCCAGGCCTTCGACTGCTCCAGCACCTCCTACTCCTCCTCCAACAGCAGCTCTTTCTTCCAGCCGATCAGTACCCCATTGCAACCGGCCAAGAACGTGCAAAACTCCATCACGAAGGTATGGTTGCTTCTGTTCTTCGTCCATACACCAAGAAAACTGCTGCCGGCCACCAAGAACTGCAGTTCTCTTCTCCTTGGTCTAGAAATCTGCAACAAGAACCTTCTCCAAAACATCTTCAGCCATCAAGAAGACTTGTCTTGACTAAGGAATGGGTGAGGAGGAGGTGAAGAATCTTCTGAGTTGATCTCATGATTCAAACAAGAGACTTGCTCATCAATTTCTACTTTTTTGTCTTAATCTTCCCAGTTGCTATCCATCTCTCCGCCTTTGTACCTCCTTACTATGTTCTCTAGTTTGTACCCTTGGTCAAATAAGGCTACATGTATTACACAAACTGATTAAGGTTGGGTGGGAGGAATGACCGAACGCCAATCTTCTTCCCAGGATGAGCAGTCATTGTTCGTGTTTTATGATGCATCACATTCATAAATAAAAGACAGGAAAATTAATTGCAAACTGAATCAAAATGTAAGTATATCATCTCAGGCAACATAATTAATCCACACCAACAAAGAAAAGAGAGGTTAATCTAAATGAAGAAGTTTCTATCTCAAAAAGTTTTCTTCTGCATCATGCATACTTGCTTACTAGAAGGATTTCATCATCATGCAATACATTACCTGATCAATGGCACAAGGTATCAAGCAACGTAGATTGTCATAGCCAGCAAAAAGATGTGGAAAAGAGCTTGGGAATGATGGAACAGCCTGCATTTCAACAAGGTCATGTATGATTCATCATTGCAAGAATTATTTCAAAGAAAAAAAATTCTTAGTGAATATGCCAAGCAGGACCAGGTGTTCATTCCTTTCCCTTTCTATTCTTATTCATTCTAATGTATAGTATGATTTGTGTGACCCAGAGTAAGAAGTAAAACTGAAAAGATCAATCATTCAAAGCTTTGTACTCTCGCAAGGCAAGCTATTGAGAAAATTTATAGCTCGTTAAATGAGGTGATTAGCATTAGGATAAAACCTGAACAGGCGGAAAGCTGATTTTTCCAATATGATCTTCATGAGTGAAGCCAAAGATTCCCACAACCTGTATTTAAAACAAAATGAGAAATGCAACAAAGTAGAGAAAAGTAATACCAATTCAGCCATAACTGCAACCACGGAACGCGCACAAACTATCAGCATGTGTATGTTTATGGATGCGGTAGCTAAGTTCTATCATAAATCCCACAAAGGGTTCATAGTTTAAAGACATAGACATTCATTCCGTACAATGGTACCTACCGTCTGTAACAATGTTAATGACTAAATTTCCCTCACTTTCCAATTCCCCAAATGGGCATGCTCCTTTTTTAATTATGGTGTAAACTGTAAAGGAGTCTTAGATCGGGTCCTTCCTATATCAATCTTGTCGGTCTTTCCTGGACCGGCTCTTGGGGGCTGATTTGGAGGGAATTATTTAGGAAATGTTTCTTAATTGAATAGGGCAAATTTTGGGGCTGATTTGGAGGGGATTAATTAGGAAATGTTTCCTAATTGAAGATGGAAGATTTGAGGGCTGATTTGAAGGGTGTAGAAAATTCTAACGCAAAAGATTTACCATATCGAGTCAGAATTGGTTTAAACACTATTACAATAGGTAATACAATGCAAACATTATAAGCAAATATCATAGCCGAGATTCAACAATCATCCTACCAGCATCACAAGTAACTCACTAGCACCACAATCTACTCATACTAATATTGAAATTAAAACTCTATAAGTGGTGCATGTTAATGAAGGGGTGATTGATAAATTTTTGAATATGCATCCTTTTACAATCAATGGGATGATAAAACCAAATAATTCTAATAAATTAAATTACAGCATTAAGAAGACATTCCAAGGTATAGTGTCCTTATGAAAACAATGTGAATATATCAGCATTCCAACTGTGAGAAGATGCTCATGATTGATGAGAGAGACATTAACATAATAAGTTTTGACCTAATAAAGTGATTCCTTAGGCAGACTTCAGGAAATGATTTTTAGAGTAGTATTCCAATGACAAACCGCATTAAACTGACAAATGATTTAAGGAAGTAACAGCAAGGACCGAAAACTAGTTAAGAGTATGAGGCCTAATTTGCTCAAATCATCAAATTTGTCTCTTGTATTCGTTAGCATGAAGATCATAAGATTTATAATTTATTTTATTTGATAGAAGACATCAGAAAGTGACTATCTGCTGTCAAATGTATTATCTTCAGAGAACTGATGGCTCAAGCTGTACATAGAAGGAAACAAGGATTAATGTCTATAAAGAGAAAAATTATAGAAAGCTGAAGAACAAAGACACACGAGTGAATAAAGATTCTCCAAAAAATAATCATCAAAACCACCAATTTATAAATATCGAAGAATAATTCTCATTGCCCTCACTGCAAAACTGCAATTTAATTATTAGCAATTACTTGAATTATTACAGTAGTAATCATAAAAATATTTCCCTCCTTTAGACGCAAGAACAGTCCATTTTAATAGCTATACGTGAGAGAACAATTTTAAAAATCAACAAAAAATTTGTGACAAAAATATAATAGAGGTAAGACACTAAAAAACATCAATAAAGGACAAGAGAAGCAACATTATATTCAGCCTAATTATCAAGAATTAACATTTATGCCTTATCAACAGCACTCCTGTTTTGCAGTCCCAACAATAACATTCGGTATCATATCAAAACAATAAATGGTACATTATTAGCTGCTAAGACCTCAGACTTAGGAGCAACCTAAACAAGCAATTCCACGTCTTGTATTTACAAATGACACAACAAAAGTGTGCAAGCAGATTAGCAAAGACAGCAAAATGGATAGAACAGTACCTTGTTCTAAGGAGAAGGTAAATTTCAGTTTTAAAAAACTAGAACTGCATCTTCCTAAGCCTTGACGAAAGATAAGCAAGGGCAATTCAGCCTCCTAACTGAAAAAGGCTAAAAGCAAAAAGGTCCTGACAAACTACTCATAAGCTAACTAACTAAAAGCAGTAAAATGCTAGTGGGTGCGTTTCCACTAACAGAACGACCCAGCACTGGAGATCGGTCCCAGCAGGACTAGCTGTTCCGCAGTCCAGCCACCCTAAGATGCTCCGCATCATTCCCCCCTGGTGCGAAAATGTTTTGGCCTGCAGTGACGGTATCTTCGTTCGCGTCCTCTGGGGAATGGTAAGGGAATATGTCTGCTACATTGAAAGTGCGTGAAGTGTTGAATTCAGCAGGTAGATCAATAACGTAAGCATTATTGTTAATCTTGTGGACTACAGCAAACGGCCCGAATTTCTTGCGGCCTAGTTTTGAGTATGATCCGCTCGGGAGGCGCTCCCGTCGAAGACGCACAAGGACCAAGTCACCTGCGTTGTAAATATTCTCCCGACGGTGAATATCTGCATGTTCTTTGTATTTACTGTTGGACTGCTGCCGTTGTAATCTCACCTTGGATAGCATATCCGTGAATTGCTCCGCCAAATTTGAAGCGGCTTTGTTGTGGCATTTCGGTAGGACTGCAATATCAACAACGGTGTTTGGTAATTTACTATAAACAATGCTAAATGGACACCTACCCGTCGACCGGTTTGGCATTGAGTTGAAAGCAAATTCAGCTTGCCCCAATACTTCATCCCACAGCCTAGGATTCTCCTGCACCAAGCAACGTAGCAAGTTACCCAGTGTGCGATTTACCACTTCTGTTTGCCTGTCCGTTTGAGGGTGGTAGGACGAACTGAGCTGAATCTGTGTGTTTAATCTCTTCCAGAGTTCCCGCCAAAAGTGGCTTATGAACTTTACATCACGATCTGATGTTAAGAAGTGAGGTATGTCGTGTAATCTTACGATCTCACGGAAGAAGAGGTTTGCTACAATCAAGGCATCAAATGTCTTTTTACATGCTATAAAATGCGCCATTTTAGAGAATCGATCTACTACAACCATGATCGAATCATTACCGCGGCGGGTACGAGGTAAACTGAGCACAAAGTCTAAGCTCAAGTCTTCCCAAATGGTTTCAGGAACTGTTAAGGGTGAATAAAGCCCCATGTTTTGACGTCCGCCTTTATAATTTTGGCAAATGGAACATCTCTCCACAAAGCGTGTCACATCTCTTCTTAAATGGGGCCAAAAGAATCTCAATTACAATTAAGAAATAGTTTTGTCTCTGCCAATATGTGCGGCCAAACTACCCCCATGCAATTCCTTTATGATTTGTTGTCTCCACGATGATTTAGGAATGCAGAGTAAATTTCCCTTAAAAAGGTAGCCATGCCTGATGGAGAACTCATCACTCGGTTCCTTGTTGATGCACTTAAGCCACACCTCGCTGAAATCAGCATCATCATGGTACATTTCCTGTAAACATTCTAGGCCCAAAAACTCCGTCTGTAGCTGAGTGATCAGCGCCACCCGGCGGCTCAATGCGTTGGCGACACGGTTCTTCTTGCCGCTTTATGTTTAATACAAAAGTAAATTTCTGCAAAAATAAAACCCATCTGGCATGCATCCTGCTGATTTTTTTTGCATATTGATGTACTGTAAAGCCTTGTGGTCACTATGTAAAACAAAATCTTGCTGAAGTAAGTAGTGCTCACATTGTTTTAATGCTCTGACGACTGCATATAGCTCTTGTTCGTATACCATCCATCGCTGTCTTGGGGCGCTTAATTTCTCGCTGAAAAATTCGATTGGCTTATCTTCTTGAGAGAGCACGGCGCCGACTCCAATGGACGAAGCATCAGTTTCTACAGCAAATGGTTTCTCGAAGTTAGGCAGAGCGAGAACTGGTGCTTTTGTTAAAGCTTCCTTTATAACATTAAAACTTCTGTTATGCTCTTGTTCCCACATGAACCTCTTTTGTTTCAACAGGTCAGTTAACGGTGCCATTAAAATGCTAAGTTCCTTAATAAATCTTCTATAGAAGTTTGCCAAACCATGGAAACTTCTGATTTCACTGAATGTAGTCGGGATCGGCTAGTCTTGAATAGCTTGAATTTTTCGGGGGTCAGCACTAACGCCCTCAGCAGAAATTCGGAACCCAAGGAAGGACACCAATTGAGTGGCAAATTCGCATTTTGACATATTCAAATATAGTTTGTGCTGCCTCAATATTCCCAGAATTTCCTCCAAATGCTTCATGTGCTCCTGAAACTATTGCTGAACACCAAAATGTCGTCGAAGTAAGCAACGCAGCATCGGTTCAAAAAAGGCTTTAGGACCTCATTCATCAATCTCATGAATGTAGCCGGTGCATTACACAACCCGAACGGCATCAGCTTCCATTCATAGAGACCTCTTGTTTTGAACGTCGTCTTCCACTCATCTCTGGGTCTTATTCTGATCTGATGATAGCCGCTGCGAAGATCCAATTTGGAGAAGTAAGTCGAACCAGATAACCTTTCTAACATCTCTTCAAACCTCGGCATAGGAAATCTAAACTTCACCGTAATCTTGTTGATGGCTCGACTGTCCATACACATCCTCCAATGTCCATCCTTCTTTGGCACCAATAGCACCGGTACGGCACACGGGCTTAAGCTATGTTGGATCAACTGCTTATCCAGCAACTCATCCACGATTTGCTGAAGCAACTTGTTTTCATTCGGGCTAAGTTTGTAATGCGGTAGATTCGGTAAGGATGCTCCCGGCGTGAGTTCTATTTGATGCTGAATAGAACGCATTGGCGGCAATTCGGCAGGTTGCTTGTCCGAGCACACATCAGAGAATTGCTCCAATAGTTTGTTTACTTCATCCGGACGGTCATTTTCGGAAACAGAATCTACCACTTCCTTCACTATTACAGCTAACATGCTTGAAGTTTCTCTCCAACCACTAATCATTGCCGCCACAGATACTGAATACAGTGATATTTTTCCCTTGGACGACTTGATTTCAGGATTCGAACTGCCCGATAATAAACGAAGTCGTCGCCCCTTCCAATCAAATGCATATGTGTAGCCCGACAGTCGTAAATTGCCCCTACGTCATATTTCCATGGCCGCCCCAAAATAAGGTGACACACGTCCATATCGAGTACGTCATATAAAACCTCACTCGAGTAGTGCTTGCCAATAGAGAACGAGACTCTACATAAGTCTGTCACCGCCATCTCCATCCCCTTTTTAACCCAACTGATCTTGTATGTGTTAAGATTCTTAGTTGTTTTCAATTGCAAGGCTCGAACCATAGCACGTGAGACCACGTTCTCGGTGCAACCGCTGTCAACCAACAAGTCGCAAATCTTCCCACTAACCGTGCACTTGATTTTGAACAGGGCATGTCTTTGCGATACGTTGGACTGTTTCGGAGCAAGCAATAATTTCTCCATTACACAAACAAGTTGCTCCCCCTCATCTCCCACTACATCCTCATGTGATTCTTCACAGTCTGCATCATTTTCTTCCAATTCCTCATCACCGTCCGCTTCAACCATTTGCAACTGAGGTCGTGTCGGACATTCATTTGTTTGTGGCTCTGCTGAAAGCATCTAAAACATTTGATATTTGCCGGTTTGGCATACGGATTTTCTTTAGCTTGTACTCGCCCCCATGGCAAACCCCTCTGCTCCACATTTTTATTAGCAGCTCCATTGGGACCGCTGACACCTGGAGAATTGATTTGTTGCTTAGCAACTTGTGGTGTAATAACACTATTTGGTCTGTTGTTCTCAGCTAAGATTTCTGGATTCCGTCTATAGTGCCCACCTCGGTTAGGCCGCGACTGTTGCATTTCTATCTTCAGGGCGTAGTTGACGGCTTGGGACAACGACCACACATCATTTAACACCAGCTTATCTTGAATTGACTCTTTCAATCCGCCAATGAATCTAGCCAACATCTAATTCGCCGTCTCATTTAGATTATTGCGGGCGCTTAACCGATAGAATTCCTCAGTATACTCGTTAACGAATCTATGGCCTTGAACACAGTGCTGATATTGGACATACAGCATTTGTTCGTAATCGGTTGGTAGGTACTGTCCCCGCAATAATTGTTTAATTCGTTGCCAGTTTCTCACCTGACCCCGTCCCTCTCTACGCCTTGACTGGATCAGCTGTTGCCACCATGCGCCGGCCCCTCCTTTGAGTCGGCAAGCACGTATTTCACCTACCTTTCCGGCTCAATATCCATATATTCAAAGAACGTTTCCACTGTTCTTTCCCAATCCAGAAAATCCTCGATGTGCAACCTGCCATCAAAATATGAAATATCAAGTTTAACCTTGAACTCACCGTGTGTTCGAGCCGTTCCTCTCGGACGCCTCCGCCTTCTGTAACCCACTTCATCATCGGAATCTGAAATTTCTAAATTCCGGAGATGGTCGAGTTCTTCCTCCGAATCAGACGCTCCAACGATCTGCGACCCTCTCTGCCGCGGCTGCTCATTCTTTACAGCGCGTCTGTTTCCTGGTCCAGGATGAAATGCAGTGCGGAGATTTTGGATACGGTCCAGCTTTGCACTGATCTCCCTCACCTCCTGCCGCAACTCATCGTAGAGACGGTGCACTTCAGCAGCAACTTGCTCCATCTGCTGCGACAAGCATTGTGTTCGTTCCACAATGCTTCAAGGCTGTTGTCGACCCCGGGTGGTCTACTGCTTTCCGCCATCTGGCTCTGATACCAGTACTGATGTAGGCACCAACAAGCAGATTAGCAAAGACAGCAAAATGGATAGAACAGTACCTTGTTCTAAGGAGAAGGTAAATTTCAGTTTTAAAAAACTAGAACTGCATCTTCCTAAGCCTTGACGAAAGATAAGCAAGGGCAATTCAGCCTCCTAACTGAAAAAGGCTAAAAGCAAAAAGGTCCTGAGAAACTACTCATAAGCTAACTAACTAAAAGCAATGAAATGCTAGTGGGTGCGTTTCCACTAACAGAACGACCCAGCACTGAAGATCGGTCCCAGCAGGACTAGCTGTTCCGCAGTCCAGCCACCTTAAGATGCTCCGCATCAAAAAGGCTCATGAAGCTCCCAATGTAGTTATAAATAAAATTTATAATTTTTAAGCCAATACCTATGAAGCATCACATTCATTCAAATAAAATAAATTTGCAGCAAGTGCATTAGTTTCATAATTAGTCACATAAGTCTATTACAATATCATCTAGTTCACGCTATGTTTACGATTGTGACATTATTGTCATTTATGTGGACATATCTGCTACATTTATTGTATTTCCACTAGCCGAGTTTGATGTGATATTGGGTATGGATTAACTCCTTGCTTATCATAATGTTATAGATTATCATAATAAGAAAGTGAAATTGTGTGAATCAGATATGTACCTTTTAACTTCAATGGTATTAAAGGGATAATATATTGTTTAGCATCAATAATTAAAGCTTGCAAAATGATTTTTCATGTGTCAATTAGTTATCTTGTTCATGTAGTGGATAAAAACAAGCATAGTGTTAGTTTAAACAGTGTGTCGCCTTCCAAAACCGGTGTGTGATGGTAAAACTTTGGCTAAACCTCATATATTTGCAATTAATATGTATAACATACATATTTTCATACATGTATAGAGAGAGAGAGAGAACTTTTATGCAAAATTAAATTTAAGGTATATAATCTTCAAACACAAAATCAAGGTCATCATCCTCTTCAATATCATTAAAGCTAGCGACATTTAAGATTAAAAGCATTGTTAAGATTGATCATCAATTACATCTAGAATGCTCATGATAAATGATTCTGGTAATTGACAAGAGATTTACTTCTTTTCACATGATGGAATCCTGCAAATCACCTAGAACTTAAAAAACTGATTGATTATCATATTCAAAAAATGTTGCAGAGTACTAGTTTATAATACATGAAAAGTGAATTACATAGAGGTCTTCTAAAAATTGCTTTAAATTTCTCACTCATAATCCATAGATTGTCCAAACATTATGAAAACGATGAAACATCATCCCTTAACTAACTTTCTTTGGCATAGAAAATTATTGATTTAAAAACTAATAAAATTGAATGGTGTTAATTGCAGTTAAATACTAAAGCACTCTGGAAAATGACGAAAGTCCATCTCATATAATATATCTTTAAGAGGCATGCATAAATAAATAAACATAAATGATTACTTAAACTGATAATTAAACACAGTAATCACCTTATTGAAAGTTACACATTTTGCAACTCTGACCATGTTTTGGTAAAAGGCACTGCAAAAATAAAAAATAAAAAGTTTCACGTTAACAACCGTTCAATGAACGAAAATCATTTTCATATGTTGCACTACTTCTACATTAAAAAAAACTAATTTTTAATCATACTATAAGCATCACTAAACTTGATGACAATTCTGAGAACCTGCATTAAAGCTAAAGCAAGCATATTAGTGGTATTAATTAGCTTAGCTCCATAGGAGATCAATAGAGGATAAAAAATGTTATTGAGTGCAGCAACAAATCTAGTAGCATGTACATGCACGGAAGTGTTTTAGAACATTCAAAGAAAACTTACCCACCAACATAATCAAAATCTGAAAATATGAATGTTCTTGAAATATCAAAGCCACAAGCAATGATATCCTTCGCATTCTCACGAGCAAGTCTTCGAGACTCTTCCACTGACAAATTCTTCCACATGCACTTTTCATCATCAGTTAGTTGAATCACTAGCGGAACCTTGAATGCATCCTGCAAATATCTACATACATTTGCAGTTAATGAACAATTACTACTTAAATTTGCAATATTTAAAGGAATCTTTTCTGTAACAATAATACTGATGAAAAGAATTTTCAGTTAGAAAGTGGCCCAAAACTGTATAAATATAGTAATCAAATATAACTTAATGAAGTATGGAGGTTTGATTCATTTGAAAATTTATAATCTTTCTTCTGATTTGACCACTGAAAATGTTGGGAAGACCTTTTATAGTCTACTAATTTCAGTGAAGATATAGTTGATGCAGCATATAACAGAAAAAACAGAAAAAAGCTAGAATTGCTTTTTATGTTGAATTGGAGTGGTAACTTTCAAGGTATCAATTCGGAAGAGCAATAGCTGATGCCCAAATTTTTTGTATGGTTATCTTGGAGTTATACTTTCCTCAAAATTTAATGTATTTACTCTTACAAAGGCAGCAAAACAGTTCATCCTACATATTTTGTAAGCTCGTTTCTAACAAAGTGGCATAATTTGTAACTTACAACAACAACAACATCAAGTCTTTGTCCCACTACGTGGGGTCAGTTATATGAATCCTCTTTCTCCATTGTGTCCTATTAAAAGTCAAATTCTTGTTTAAATCTAATAAAGAAAGTTCGTGTCTAATATTTTCTAACCAAGTCTTTTTAGGTCTACCTTTACCTTTCTTAACATTAGTCCATAATTTGTAACTTACATTAAATTAAAAATGCTCTGCAAGAAAACTGATCGCACATGGAAAAAAAATAGTTAAATAAAGACCCTTGGTGATTTTCACGAGCTCTGGGAGTTGAGAATGCTTGTCTTGACGAAAAGTCACAAAAAAAAATTCAAATTTATTGTCCTAATATTGAGTAAAAGAGAGAATTATTAAAAATCTCTTTAATATTTTAGTTTTTTTGGTACAACATACAATGCACGGGATCTATTCTTGAAGTCCTGCATTGATCTAGAGAATAGTTCATGAAGGGTTGGTCAATCCAACCATCCACCATAAATAAGTTCATAAGGCAAAGCTATCCTCACAATTTGGGCATCATATATCTTAAAAAGATCAAAGAGATCTCATTCATTGAACGTACCAGCGGTAATGATTCTCATATCACTACTAAGATTGAAGAGGATGTAGCTAAGAGTTCACATTCGCGATTGGATGATCAATCAAACATCATATATGGAAAATCAAGACTCCCAAAGCTAGCCGTTGGATCAATTTTTAAATCATAACATAAGAATAAATAGGAAAATTTTAAACTTATTTGATTTAGTATATATTTGAATTTAAATTCAAATTAGGATAATTCCTTTTGGAATTTTCATGTAATTTGAACTTATCTAGGATGTTATTATAAAAAGATTTTTTTTTTCTTTTGGAGTTTATTTAGTTATGGATTAAATCAATTCTTGAAGGCTTTTAATTCTACATAATAAAGGAACCCAAAAAATTTCTCTTGAAACCCTACCTCTCCCTTCTATTGTTTTCCCCATCCCCGAAACTCTTTCTGCCTGTCAAGTAAAAAACCACAGGACTCCACTTCTATACCTATAGCAAGGAACCGCATGAAATATTTTCCTACTATTGTGGCCAGCCTCTGATATTGAACTCTACTCTGTAATTTATTACAGTAACCATTGAAGCAAATTGTCTTATTTTTGCTGTACAAGAAGACAACTCCACTGCACCGGAGTTCTGCTACAGAAATAAAATCATAAAAATTTGGCTTCAGGAATAAAATAGTGAGAATTATGTTGTCCAGCAAACAATAAATTTGGTAATTGCAGGTCATTTTAGTAAGAAATCAAAGACGATTCTACTATGAGCAGTACATTGCCAAGGAAAAAAAACACAAAAGCAACAAGTTGCTGCTGTCGAAATGAAGAACTTCAAATCAGGAAATGACTAATATCATCCACAAACATAAAGAGTCGAAACCATCAAGTTAGTAACAATGCATCAATCTTTAGCACGTGATACAAAAATTGAGAGGATGTAAAAAAAATGCAGAACCACTTCTTAGGGAAGTCAAGAAAGAGGTGAGAGCAAAAAGAAGAAGAGAAAGAAAGTCAATCAATAGGTAACAATGTTATTACATCCAATCTAGATGATCAAGTAACTAGATTATCAGAGCAAATAGCCAGTCTAATGAAGTGGATGAGAAAGAAAATAAAAACCACTGCAACTAGTCAGAGAAATGGGGATCAGAACTAGTGGGAGATCAATCAAATAGTCTAAAGCCAAATGCAACCATTCAAATAATAAAGGAATCCAATCTGGTAGGAGATAAATCAAATCATATCCCTCCTCTTCCTTCTCTGTCAAATGCAAACATGATCAGAGAGAATGAAAATGAGTATATGAATACCACTCATGAAGGAATGATGCAACCATTCAAATGATATGAAGATCAAATCTAGTGGGAGTTCAATCAAAATTTTAGAGATATTAAATAGATTGTCAATTTATCCTTCATTCCTTATGCAAGTAAAGCAGCATTTGCTTTTCAATTTGCTGGGGATGAGGAGTAAACACCAAAATAACGGAACAAGCAAGAAAGTAAAAGCAGCGGAAAAAATAACAATAACCTCTGTCTTGACCCTCTGCGGTGTTGTATCAAGACCTCTGTAGCACTCCGCTCTTTGTCGTTCAGAGCTGGGGCGCTCGGGAATAAAGCGTTGGGGCGCTCGGAAACGCAACATCGGAATGTTGTACAGGAAAAAAAATCATGTGAGACAAAAGAACAATTTGATTGATCAACAAAATCAGATTCCACACATAATACAGTTTCCACTCTGTTGAACTTGCAGGATGGTTGTTTATAGAACATTAACATAAGCAAAACAAAGAAGCATTCTATGGAACATTGCACATTTACTAACAAATTTTTGTGGTCCGCAACTAGTGTCTGGAAAATAATTTTCTGGAGTTACATCACAATAAAATCTATGGATATAATGATGAAGCAATTCAAAACAAAACGAAAAAACAAATTATTAACACCGATAAGCAATACAAAATTAATAAAAATATAATCAATAAATAAAACAAATCTGCATTTGCAAATCAAAAGATTACTTGGTGAACATGAAGGGCACCAAATGGCCCAGGTGCAGAGCCTCTGATGAAGGTCCCCTCCCCGTATAAAGATAAAACTTCTCCCCCCTCTCGTAGACATCAAGAATTTCATTCAAATCCCTAAAATAACCAAAATCCATATCAAACTAATAGTTCATTGCCAAAAAATGATGAAGTAGGGAAGAAAAATGAGCGACCTGTGGGCGAAGAAAACACCACGACGGAGAAATACGTGAGCAGGGCGCGAAGTGAGGCGCTCGACACGGTTGACAAGGGATTGATCAAGCCGCTGGCATCCAAACTTTTCAATCAGCTTTTCGTAATCTATTTTTCCCCCATCCTTCGCCGATACCTCCCAAGGGTTCACCACCTGATTGTCTTCCTCCGTCGCCATAGCTGTTGACGCTACTCCAACAGATTTCTGATCATCTGCTATCGGAGTTCGAAATCAAAGTGGTTGAATAGAAGAAAAAGTTATGGACCACTTGGTAGCAGGATTTGAGTAGAATTTAACTTAAATTCTGTCAAAACGGTAAAAATCGCAACTTTAGGGGCTGTTTGGTATCGGATTTACAGCGGGATTTAAGTCGGATTTACGCTAAATCCAGCCAAACAGTTTTTGTGCGCGCGTTAAATCCCGGGATTCAGCCGGATTTAGTAAATCCGAGCGGGATTTATCTGAAGAAGCGCGCGAAAGGGAGAAAGTTACCTCCACAGCCAGCGAGCTCCCGTTCTTGCTTCCGATCAAAATGCCGTAACTTCCGATCCGGGTTGAAGTCGTCGCAGGAGCGAAGTCGAACAGCCACGAAGGAGCCGAAGAAGCGACGCCTGCAATCTCTACAGCTAGGGTGTCAATATTTGGGCAAATTATTGGGTCAGGTGACGGAAGCCATCTCTCCGTTCTGTCGCCAATAAAAATGCGCCATCTGTTAGGATTTTTTTTAATTTAATATTAACGCTTTATGTCTTTTCAGAGTTAGCGACCCGACCCGATAACGCTTTTCATTTGAACTTTTAAGCATTTGCCGCCCTATTTTTTCATTTTGAAAGCCGCGAAAGACTCAAATAAAGACTGCTGTAGAAGAAAAAATGAGCCAGAAAATTGCAGAGAAGAAATGGACTGCTCAGCGAAGAGGGATGTCGAAGAGGGAATGGAAGAGGGAGTGCATGAATCGTATAGGATGCATGAATCGGAAAGGATGCATGAATCGCAAGGGGTAATGCATGAATCGGAATCGGAACCTAACGTAGCCGGAAATTCCTCTGGTTTCAACATTTCGGTAAGTTAGAAAGTTCTAAACTGACTGTTTTAATATTATCGCCGCAGAAAGAAGACGTAGGTTTCAGTTCATTAGTCTTAGGATCTTTGATTTTGCGATTTTTAATAAATTTCTTTTGTCGAAAAAGTAAAAAAAAAAAAAAAAAGAAAATATAATGTTGTTGTTTCTTAGCTTTCATTATTGATTTTAGGTTGAAGATGATAAATAAAAAAAATGAACTTGTCGATATGGTTGCGCTATGGTTGCGCTATGGTTGCGCTATGGTTGCGCTATGGTTGCGCTATGGTTGCGCTATGGTTGCGCTATGGTTGCGCTATGGTTGCGCTATGGTTACGCTATGGTTGCGCTATGGTTGCGCTATGGTTGCGCTATGGTTGCGCTATGGTTGCGCTATGGTTGCGCTAAGGTTGCGCTATGGTTGCGCTATGGTTGCGCTAAGGTTGCGCTATGGTTGCGCTATGGTTGCGCTAAGGTTGCGCTATGGTTGCGCTATGGTTGCGCTAAGGTTGCGCTATGGTTGC